CCCCCCCCCCCCCCCCCGTGCGTTCCGACGAATCAACCCCGACCCCCATCCCCGTCGGAAAGCAGGTATCGGAGTTCCACAAGGGGCCGTTGAAGCGGAAGCACGGACTCCTGAGGCGCCTGGTCCGTCTGTCTTACCTCTGGCTGGACGACTACACGGGATTCTGGACGTTCTACGCGAAGCTGAAGATGCTCCTGTGGGACTACCTGGTGCGGAGGCTGGACACGGCGCTACGGGGGTGGATGCCGTCGCCTTGATCCTGACGGGGTGGCGATTAGTGTGTATGTAAGTAGCGAAGGTAGGATTTACGTGACGTTATCCCTATCGCGGGGTGTCGAATGTAGTGGGTGACCGACGTCGTCATTGTGATCGGTGTGCCAGGGAGGTTGGGAGACCAAAGGTTTGTGCGCACCTGTCCGCTCACGCGGCAAGGGAGCGTTGGTTTCACAAAAAAAGTGTCTTGATCCATCGGGAGGATAGGTTTTGTATGCGGCGCGAGTGAGATGGGAGAAAAGAGTCTGTTGCGTCTTAGAAAGAACGGACAATGGTGAGGGCGGTGCGCGTAAGAGAATCATGATCGATACCGCCCTGAGTCGATCTTTCTTATTCGTATATGGGGTTTGTTGCTGAGAGACGGGTGTCGCACCCGTACTGCTGTGAAAGTGTCCTGTCCGCTGGTCCCCTTGGAGGATGTACTTCAGGATGTGACCTTGTATACAAGGGAGATGGGTGCTGTCAAACATGGATGACGGTTTGCAACATGGCGTACGTGGTGCGCCCGTACAACTTACAGCCGTCACGGGAGACTAGGACGTTCGGGTGTGTGGTTCGCCGGTGCCCCCCGCTTGACACGGATCCCGCGGGCGACCGCACCGCAGGTGTCGACAAGCGATGTGCTCTGCTCAACCCACACGGCCTTAGTACACCCGACCGGTCTCGGTGTGCCTACCGCAGATGATGTGCGTCAGGGTTAGCTACACCAAAAGAACCCGACTAGACGGGACGGGTCTCGTGAAGGTCAAAATACAGGCTTCAAGAATTTGAGCCTCCTGGCCTTACGAGTCAGGGAACTTGTCCTGCGAAGTTGAGTGGGATCTCCGAGCCCGGCTGCAAAAACGACTTCCTGTTCAGGATTGGTGATGATGAACGGAAGTGTCTTTCCACCATAGCCAACCAACGCAAGCAAGACATGCCCCCCCGCTTTCCCTCTTCTGTGTTATTACTTGCAGCATTCCTGTCCGTCGTACTCAACCACCTCTTGCCTTCACACCACCCACGCGTTTTCATCACCCCTCCCCTCTCACATTCATACATGCAATCCATCCGTCCACTTCACGAGGCAACAAATAATTAAAAAAAGGGTCTGTTTTGTTCAGTCCACGAAACGTAGACGTGGGGCATGGGGCAGACCCGCTCGCGACGATCTCTGAATGGACAAGCGCACAACACCGACATTAATTCGCGAATCTTCCGCACTTCCAACCAACTACGTTTCATATTTTAGTTAATACATCACATCTCTTGTGGGATGAACCCGTCGCCTTCTACTACTACTACAGGTGTTGATGGTGGGACTGTTTACGAAGGTCGCTACCCGACTCTGTTTCGTCCGTCCGATACACAGGCCGAAGGCCGGCGCCTACACGAGCCGTCCGCTCTAACCTCCGCCGTCGCGGCGCAGGCTGTTTTTTCATAAAAGCCGTGAACGATCGCGTTCAACAATCAAGCCAACCTCACGAACCATGAGCGGAACCCCGACTATCCAAACGTACACAGCTTGGAACGGAAAATACCGAGGGACAGTCCTACTACCAGAATCATTGACTACCGAGGGCTCCGTAACCAAAAACGTCGAGACCAGTTGTCGTCATTTCACACGGCGGTAGGCAGGGCTCATCATGCGCGACAGCACGTGTTTTGTCTGTCAAGCATGAACTCAACTCTTCTCACTTGTAATAGTCAGAGCTGTTGGGCCGCTTTGCGTGAAAATCGCTCGGTCGGCAGGACGGGCTCCCTCAACACGCAAAAAAAAAAAACCCATGAAGAAAACTCCTCTTCAAAGGGTAATTACATCCGATCCGTCGCGTGCTCGAATGCAGTGATGGCGGCTGGACGTAAACGTAAACATGAAATCTGGAGGCGACACATGAACTCTTACTGAAAGAGAAACGACTTTTTCGAAGTACAACAGGACATACTAACAACACGATCGCCGGTGCACAGCTCCGCTCCTTAACGCAACGGGCCTCCAAAAATGTAACAACCGTCTCCGGGCACTTAACGAGTCACGCGGGCACCCCAAGGGCAGCTGAATCGATAGCGCTCGGTGTTCCAGCTGAAGGGGGATGTGCACATCTATCAAAATACTTACCTCTGGTAACGTCCCACATCTACTGCCAACGCTGCTTCCTCTTGGTGACCATCGCCAGTTCCCGCTGGCTCGTCGGGGTCCTTCGATGCCACCCTCTTACTGCTGTCGCTGCTGCTGCTGCTGCTGCTGCTGCTGCTGATGCGGCTGCCCCTGATAAACCTTTAAAGGTCAGGCCGACGGGGGCACCGGTGTTGTCGCCGTCGCCGTTGCCGCCACCCCGGCCTCTGCGGATGGCCAAGGCCCAACGTCCGCGCTCGCCACGCTCGGGGTAGCGCTAAGCGACGACGACGACGACGGCATGGAGAGTGACGTTGGCGACGCCTGCGGCACAGCTTACTGCTGCTGCTGCTGCTGCTGCTGCTGCTGCTGCTGGGCTTGTGGCGGCGGCGGCGGTGGCGGCGGTGACGGCACCAGGGCCTCTACCGCCGCGGCACCAGCACCCCCGGAACCATCGGTACTCCTTTCACCGGCGCCTTCGCCAACACCAGCCGGGGCGGTGCTGCCCTCCGGAGCCACCATCTCACGCACGTCCTGCCCCTGCCCAGGCGCCGCCGGCGCGGCGGCGCCCCCCACGGTCGTCTCCGTGCCGATAGCTTCCGGCACCGCCGCTGGGACCGGCGGGGCCGTTGGCGTTCCCGTCGGCGGGAGAGGCTGGCCCGCGCTATTGGGCGCTCGTTCTGGCAACCCGAGGTGGTTTCCGTTGTCATGCTTGGCGACCATGTCCCAGGCGGCGGCCGTCTCCTTGGCGTCTTCGCTCGTTCCGCGTTCGTTCGATGAGGAGCAAGGGAGAAGAGCCAAGAAGGAGAAACAAGAGGTAGAGCGAGCGAGCGAGCGAGCGAGCGAGCGAGCGAACGAGCGAGCGAGAGGGAGAGAGGGAGAGAGGGGACGGGGGGTACTCATAGTCGTGCATGCCGTAGTCGGTAGACCATTGACCTCGCATCCCTACAAAGTCGGGACGGAGCNTTCGGCGAGTCGCATGAAGGGTGCGCTGCATCCTGCTAAGGGTGTTCGGCATCTTGTGCTTACTTCCTTGCGTACGGATGACAGCTGCGTATGACTCAATTTATTTTCTGGTGATTTCACTTCCTGAGACAGTTGTAAGCACCATGTAACTGCCTCGAGAGTGCTTGACCATTTCAACACAACGTGGCGCGATTATCCCTTTTGCGCGAAGTGAGGGTTCTCGACCCCGCACAACATAATCTACTCGACCACCATTATGGTTTCCGCCCAAAAAACAAAAAACAAGGGCAAATTAAAAAAGCGGTAACCTAGTTGTCGAGCTCACGAACGACTTGTTTAATAGCGTCGCTGCCCAGCGACTAAAACCCCACTCCGATCGCAAACACCGGGAGTGGGGCGGCTAGTTTTACAACGTCGTTGCTAAGCGACGAAAACCCAACCTCGATGGGTAGGGGGGATGGGGGCAGGGGGGGGGGGGCAAACGGAGTTGTGAGTTTTTCCTGGTTGGATGGAACTGTAACTTGATCGTTTCTAGAGCAGACGCGAGTACTGAGCTTCAGCTGCAAACGCCCACCAAAGCGTGCACAGGCNGGGGGGGGGGGGGGGGGGGGGGGGGGGGGGGGGGGGGCAAACGGAGTTGTGAGTTTTTCCTGGTTGGATGGAACTGTAACTTGATCGTTTCTAGAGCAGACGCGAGTACTGAGCTTCAGCTGCAAACGCCCACCAAAGCGTGCACAGGCGCAACCTGTGTCCAATGTCCACATTCGCGACAAGGGAGGGGGGCGGGCGCCAGCTGAAACCCTTCCGCAGCAACCAAGCTACCTCGGGCGGCTCGTTCCCGTTGCGTTAGCATCGCCATCCTATCAACGTCCCCACATGCCGCACGCCCTACTGTCATCAACTCCAAACAACGACCGCAAAACAACAAACGCCTGGCCAAAACGCACGAGCACGGGCGAGGTGGCCCTTACCTTCCTGCCGTAAACAAACACACGCGTGCCGTATGACACGCACCCTCTCTCTCTCAGTCCACACTCACCCCCAACTACGTCCGCCGAGCCGATGCTCGGCGCCGGCTCGAGATTGCTGAACTCAGGAGACGGCACCGGCGACAGCAAGGTGTCCGACCCCCTTCCCGGCGCGACGGCCTCCACCGCCGCCGCCGCCGCCGCCGTCACCGTCGCCTTTGCCGCCGCTGCTGCTTCCGCCGGTGGTTCTGGCACCGTCGGCGACGGCGGCGGCGCGTCAGCCGGAGGGGGGAAGACCGCGGCGACTTGCAAGAACGGGAAGGCGGGCGCCATCGCCGTGGTCACCGCCGGGAGCGGTTGCGCTCTAGCAGACCCCTGCTCTTCCTGCTGCTGATGCTGCTGTTGCTGCTGCTGAGGAAGGTGCAAGACAGGCGAAAGAAACGGCCCTCCTCCGGCCAGCCCCCCGACGCCCGGCTGCCCAACGCCGCCGGAAGGGCTCGAGGCGAAGGCAGGAACGGGCGGGGTAGCAGAGTCGGCGAGGGCCTGCATCATTGGCGGCGGCGGCGGCGGCGCCCCCGCCCCTCCCCCCGCCCCCCACACTGCCGCCGCCGCCGCCGCCGCCGCTGCCGCCGGTGACACTTGTGGGGGTAATGCTGACGGTGGTGATGCGACCGGCCCTGGTCCCACCGGTGCCGCCGGCGCTGGCGCCGCCGGCAGTGGCGGCGGCGGAACCTGTGCCGGTTGGGAAAGCGCCGGCATGGCGGCGCGGTGCTCGGCGTCGATCTCCGCGGCGAGAGCCACTTGCGCCTGCCGAACCCGCTCGATGGCCTGGCGCACCTGGATCTCGCGTTCCGCCGCCGTCCGCGGCGACTTCGCAGATGGGGCGCCTGTCGTTAGCAAAAGGTAGAGAGTAGGTAGTGGTGGTAGTCGTTAAGGGGGGTTGGGTTTCCGGCATGCCGTCATCGGCGGCGTTGTTGGGTCGAGGACAACAGCAACCAAAAACCACGGCTAAGAGTCAGCAGCGGGAGAAGAAAAAAAAAGAGAGGTACGTAGCGAGACCGGCAGAGAAACACCATGAGATGAAAGGGATACATCCAAGCGCCGCGGCAAAAACCAACGAAGAGGGCACGGTCGGCGGCGAGGGGCGAGCGATAACACCACAACAACGACGACGAAAAAAAAAAACGCGCCACATGCTACATAAGACACCAAAGAGATACATCCGACAAGATGGAAGGGGAGTCCAAAACTCCTTTGTCTCCCTCCCGCCCCCGCCGCCGCCTCACCGGGTCCCTGCATCTGCCTAAGCAGCAGCGCGAGCTCGTGCGTCATGGCCTTCTTCTTGGTGAAGACGAAGGACGACGTCTGCGAGGCCATCCACGGGTAACGCTGCGCGTACATCCTCGACACCTCCGGGTCGTAGGAGCGGAAGACGTAGCTGCTCTTGCGGAGGATCTCCTTGCGCCGCCGTCGCTCGGCGTCGTCAGCGGCGGCGGGGCAGGCCATGAGGCTCTCCTGAAGGATGAGGGGAAGGAGGGAGGGAGGGAGGGTGTGTCTTGTGTACACCTTCGTGAGTCTTGTCTGTTTCCACTACACCATGTACGGTATTATACATGGCAGTACCAGGGTTGTTCCGAGAGCCGCCGACAGTCGCGTGCTTCGTAAGCACATATTTCTTCCTCCCTCCAGAGAAGGGTTGCAAGGTTACAACAAGAAACGAGGCAATGAAAATGAAACCCCAAGACGACCTCGACATTGCATTAAATAGCTCAACATTGCATAAAAATAGCTCCACGTTGCATTAAATAGCTCAACATTGCACAAAATATCTCCACATTGCATTAAATAGCTCAACATTGCATAAAAATAGCTCACCTCCAGCGCCAGCCGGTTCTGTTTACACAGCTTGCACACGTGCTTCGTGCCCAGCAGAAAGGCGTCTTCCAGCACGCCCGATACCCGCCGGCCTTTGGTCCACCCCTTCGACTCGACCTGTACAAGCAGCAGTCAAAACACAAACAACAACAACAACAGCAGCAGCAGCAGCAGCAGCAGCAGCAGCAGCAGCAGGCTTGAGCTTTCGCTTCGACGCCAATCTCGATTGGAAGCACTAGCACGTTGCCCCGGTTTTTGTATACACAGATAAGATGGCAGGGGTGCGAAGAGGCAACTTCCAACTACTACATAATAGTACGGAACACCCTGGCAAATGTTTGCCGATAAAAATGTCCTCCTGTTGCACACCAGCGGTGAGGCCACACGTCGCCGTTTCCATCTGAGGAGGTGGGCAACGAAGGCACAACCACAACACCGTGTGGTGGTGAATACCAGAACGATTCGTGTGCCTCCTGCTGGAAAAGCCCATGTCGTCGGTGGTCGACAAGCGTCTTCCACGAGTGGCGCGACCGACACATGCACGAGATCCCTTTTCCCTGCGCCCATGTCGACGTAACGCGAAGCCGACAACGGACCCACGAGGTTTCGGGTGACCTCCCTCCCGGGATGCTTTCCGCTGGCGAGACGTTGACGCAGCCGCGCTTCCAAGCACGGAAAAAAGAAAGGTCTCGGTTACGGAGTAGACCCCTTGCCAGTGATAACCGGATGCCTCGTGTCTCGGGGAGACACGCTCCCGCTCGCTGGGTGACTGCTTGCTGCGTGCGTTCTCTCCCGGCAGCAGGAGAAGGACAGAAGACCCCGGGACAACAGCCACCCGGGAGCGCTCGGCATCAATCGCCACCAACGAGCTCAGCAGCAACCCCCGCCAAAACTGCGACAAAGTACCGAGAAAAGCTGCCAACAAACAGAAGTACAGCAAGATCTGCGCAATGTGTCACAGCCGTGTCTCCGACGGTAGAGGGTACCTTATGCGAGGGGGCTCCCAGATGTGAGGTTCGAAATCGGTTTGTCACAGACTCGACCCGCTCTTGTAGTGTAGTCGGGTGTCCTCTTGTTCCGAAAATTAGCAGGGGGCTCCGATATGAGAAGGTCGACGGCCTTTGCCTCCACTGCACCGTCGACACCATATCACCGGCTATCGAGATCGGAATATGCCAAGCCACCGAAGTTTCTCCCGCCTGCCTTTCGGCCCACCCACACCCGCACAACACACAACACAAACACACACTTTGTGTTTTCCACCGGACTGAAAGTGACGTCTCTTCGTTGGTCAGACGGGTAGCACGGCCGATACAATTGACACACACACACACACACAAACACCGCTTAGCCGTACTTGGACTGGCGCATTTTCATTTGGTCTGCCGGATAGCACGGTCGATGCTAGTCACACACACACACACACACACCTCGCCGTCCGGCTGCCAGCCGTGCCTCGGACACGGCGGCATCTTGGGCACCTTCCCTTGGTAGTACATGTGAGGCGCCTCTACGTAGATCACCGGGGCCGGAAGCCCACTGCCGCCGCCGCCGCCGACCCCGTTTCCTTTCGCCTCGCCCACCGGTGCTGCTGTTGCCCCACCCCCGGCCCCCGCCCCTGCCTTCGCTTCCGACGCCGAGGGTCCCTTGGGGTAGAACACGCAGGAGTACGCCCTGGACAGGTATC